CGCGCGCGCCCGCCCGTCCCCCAGGAACGCTGCCAGTTACTACCCCGATTACCAGCATCACAGAATTGGCAGCCCTTGGTTTTCTGCCTCGGGAAGCACTGGAATTAAAGCCGTTCAGCAAAACTTTGGCAGGGGTATTTGGTTAGTTATTTCAACCTCTAAACTCCTCAGCCTTCTAAGTTCAAGTAAGTTCATGTTCAAAGGATCGCTTAAAAATACACAGCTAAAAAGGTTAAAAGAATAGCTGGAGATTCCAATTTCTAAGGACTATTTCCTGTTTACTTTTCATACCATCTAGCTGAACTCTTACATTTCATCTTGGATGCCAGACACAACCGTCCACAGAGGACATACGTTGTCGCCTTACCTTCACACACGCAAACGCAAGATGGCCTCTATTTGCTAAAAAGGTAGAGCCCAAATGTGAGGCAAAAAAACGGCCTTAGGAGACACCGAAGGGAGCACAAGGAACTTCTTTGTTCAGGAGCGTAGGAATCAAAACACTGAAACTGCTGTGGTATTTTGGGTATTATCCAAAACAACAGAGTCGCTAGTGAGAAAATGAAAACTGATATATTTCAGTTGGACAGTCTGTACTTTTCATGCTACGCTCATACCCAACAATCAAAGGCAAGATTCTGGAGGCTTTCTTCAGCCTAGCTKCTCACCAGCCTGGGGGTTTTACGCGGCTTGTGAAATAAGAAACGTTTTGTTGTTGCTTTTAAAGACAGACAGATTGCATTCAGGCATAGGCTAGAGGAAGGAAGGCAGAAAAAAAWAATAATAAAATAAAAAAGGGCGTTTGTTAAGACATTGGCCTTTCCAAGGGGAGGGCTGCAAGGGCTTGAGAAACGTCCAGAGGAGAAGCCCTCCAAAACGCACTTAATCATTATCAACAGTAGGCTTTTCCATATGCTGCTCTGTTTGCACCCCTCATGCTGCCACTGGCATATTCCTTCTGTCCTTATTAAGCAGAAACTATTCAAGACCGAAAAAAACCCTATTCACACATACCCAACGATTGCTATGGTCACAGAGTTTTATAAGGAATGTATGAGGGGTAAGTGTAAAGCTAGTTGTGTGCACAAATAGCGTCAGGGTAGAATATTTTTGTTGATTAACCAACATAATTCACCCTTAAAAAGGAAGGATACACGAACTATTGGCAATGAAAATCTGAATCAAAAGTTCTGCTCTAATGACAAACTTAGATAAATTGAAATTTATCTTTTTAAAAACTGACTTTAAATAATGAAGTTTTCCTGAAGAATCAGAGGGCCTTCAGAGACTGAAGGAAAAACTCATTAACACGGCAAATATTCTAAAAGCCCAGAATAACTCTTTTTCCATTTATGCTTTGATTCTGTTATCTTTATCCATCCACCCTTATCTAAGGCATTAGCGAAACACGAAACTGGTTTCAAACGGGGATGTGTGAGCACTGTACTTTGAAAGCTGTAGTTAACTAAACAGAGCCCTGCCTCAGATTAGCGCATGAAAAGCTCTGCCTACACGACTCCAGCCCCACACTGCCATAATTCTTCTGGACCTTGTCTTCCATTTACAGATGGTAAAAGCACACAGGGCGCACGGAAAAACAAAACAAAAAAAAAAATGGCATATTTGAGATATTCTCACTTGGCCATAGTAAAGTCAGTATGACCATTAAGTTGCGAAGGTTTCATTTACAAATGAAATATTTTTCAAAAGTGTCTGAGTCACACATGAGCCTAAAGGTAACTTTTTCATCATGTCCACATGATTCAAGAAGTCTGTTTTCCAAAACCCCAAAGATTGTGCAAGCACAAGGATGTGGGTGGTTTTAACATGTGACCCTTCTGAGCCAGAAGCACAATTTGAATACTATTTATTCTAAAATAATAATGCTACCTCAACCTGTGTGATAATAATTTTCTATGGCTCTTTCTATGGCTCAGACAAAGCTAACAGAAACAAGTGATAATTACAACAACAAATCAAAGTTTCAGTTGCAGCTGCTCTTTGGCATCAACCTACCATCTCAAAGTTAAGAATTACAGAGAAAATCATGAGAAAATTCTAACAGACTCACAGAGTCCTCAGTTGCTTTGTCTGACTTGCAGAAATATTTCTCACTGTTTTTTCTCATAGAAGGTTATTATGGTTATTATCTGCATTTAAGGAGATCACAAAAGGAGAAGGTGAACCAGGTTGGAGAGGGGGAAATAATATATATTTTCTTCTGTTAGTATATATATTTTGCTATCTATTAGGACCAGAGGTTTAATTTATCATACTTCAAAAAAAGCTACGGAGGAAAGTCGGGATATGACCTTTCATTATAGTGGTGGTTTTTAATCCATCAAATAAATGGGTACAGAATGCACACATGCATCAGTAAGATGTGGTAGAAAATGATGTATAAAAGGCAGATCTGCAGCAAAAAAAGCCAGCCTACCATGGTGTGGCATCAGGCTATCACTGAGGAAAGAGTATCATATTTAAAAAGAGAGAGGTGGAAAAACATGTATCACAGAATGGTTGAGTTGCAGAGGACCTCTGGAGATAATCTAGTCCAAGCCCCCTGCTCAAGCAGGGTCACCTATAGCAGTTGGCCCAGGACTGTGTCCAATGTTGGGTGGTCACATTGCACTGCTTCCTGACAGTCAGTACACAAGTCTGGCTGAAATCCACCCGGTCCATGCACAGAAAGCAGCAAATCCCCCTTTCCCTCCTCTTCAGCATGGTCTTCACCTCCCCTTTTCCAAGMGGGACGCTACTTGGTGTTAAATTACACATATATATCAAGTAGGACCTTTCCTCTAAAGGAAACAACTGTAACCATGCAGTAATACAATTTAGCCTATTCTTATAATTAAAACAATGAACAAAGCATCATCATTTTAAACAGTTCAAACTGTGCTTGCTCCAAGACAGTTCATCTTTATTCACTTTATTCACAGAGAATAACAGAGCCTTAACAAAACGTTCTCCTTYCTGTGGCAAGGGGAATGTAATATTTATCAGCACTGGCTTCCAGCGCACCACAATCAATCATCTCAGAGCATATTGTGAAGTAAAGTGGTGACAATCTAGATAATAGCACAGCAAACTAAGTTACAAGGGGAAACAAATAGATAACTGGATTAGGAAGCTCCCAGTTTCACCTTAAACTCTGCCATCTTTGTCATCTTTTCTTTTCCTTCTTTTTAAAAATCTTTTTAAGTTATGCAGGTGCCTAGAACAGAGTCTGTAGCTAGGTGCGYACTAACACAACCTAATGCCTTTAATTCTGTATGAGTCTTCCATAATGATCCTCTGACTGCTTTTCAGACATTCCTCAAAGAGCTGAGCTCTGGATCAACTTGGAGAAATTGCTGGTAGGTCTCCCCCCCCCCCAATTCTTTTCCCCCCTTCCCCTCTCCATTTCTTCAGTACTACCCACTTTATGGTTTTAGGTCCATTTATTAAAAAAAATGGATAAATTCTTGGGAAACACGTAGGAAAAAAWTTCAGTGAAGAGATACTAGAATTGTCTCTTTACATATAACATATGCAGGTAACCCACAATGATGCTAACACTGGACTGAAAAGTTAAACCACTTACCCACTCCTACTCTCTCCTTTTCCACATACAARCACACATACCTTCCTTGATACAACTCTCTAGCAGGCAACAAACACAAATTTAAATCAGCAYATTGAGTTCCCTGACTCACTTTAAGAATTATTTTTCTTTGCATTGCTTTTTACCAACCTGTTTTCTCCTAATATGGTAAGGGGGTAATTGGATAATTACCACACCAAAATACTCGTAGCTGCTGGTGCTGGAGAAAAATGCTTTGCTGAACAGGGGAACATGTGGTAGAAGAGAACTGAAATTTACTGATTTATGGCAAATAGCAGTTTCAATCAAAAGGTATATTTTTTGCTGGGATACAGAATAATGTGCAATATATTAGTTACACACTATGATCATTGCCTTGTTAGAGAAAACTGATGAACTTGGCTCCAAAGAGCTGAGGGATGTGGAAATGGGCTTCAAACTGGGATTAGAGTTCTGTGTTACTAAGAAAGCATGTAGGGTCATTATGTTCACACTGCTCTCTCCTACCAAAAAATGCTAATAAAAGTGACTCTTACCATGAAATCACAATATTTGAACACAAATGTGAATAAAGGACAATCCGAAACCATGTATCTTCATTTTAATTTTCTCATATAAATCAGTGTACCCATCCTTCTGTGGAATACACATTTGAATTTCACTTAAAAGCACTCTTAAGTGGATACACGTCTGAGACACTGATCAAATCTAGGAGGCAAAACTATACGCCTAAAGCAATCCAGGCATAGTGGGATTCGATTTGTTGCTTCCTTCTGGAATGCCACTAATATTTAGGCAAAGTGTGTCAAAACTCTTTAGCGAGGTGAACAAAAATTCACCTCCACTACTTCTAAAGAATGACACTAAAAGTGTAATGTAGCTTTAAGTAGTAGTTAGAAACTGATGAGGGATGAAGACTTTTTTCTCAGTAAAAAAAGAGATTTGACTGGTCAGATCATAAAGCAGATCCAGATTTGGCAGGGAATCTGTAAGACAGCTGTGCTTTACCCCTTCTCAGTACTTGAAATACATTAATGCGGCATTGAGGATCCTTTAAAGAATACACAACTACAAAGGACTTTTTTGATGGATAAGCATATAAGGGAAGGGTAACATGTGTTGATCCTGGCAATTCAAAGTATGCAGGAATGCAGTTATCTTGCAGTCCGTGAAATAAAAGCTTCAGAAGCTGCATTTTAGTGCTTGCTATTCTCTTATAATCAAGGCAATTAGACTCACCCAGCCTCCCCTTTTCACTAAATCAAATAGTATTCTTTAAAGAAGCAGAATCTTCAGAGCAGAATGTTCTTGTCARAGGGAGCAGCTGATTGCTCTTGCATGACCTAGGATTTTCTATGTGGTTGACAAGCAGAGTGAGGCCCTTTTAGCTGCATATGAACAAGTATCCACTTACTGTTGGTTGCATAACATATGGCGGATGAGGCATCCATGAAGTACTCTGGACCTGCATATCAAAAACTTTTTATTAGCATAGGAAAGTAAAAAGCAGAATTCCAATGAATTATGTACGGTTTTTCCTTCTTTTACAACTAAGGAGCTAATTTTGGTAAAAGGCCTAAGCAATGTAACATAAGGCATTTATGCTTCATAAAATTATTGACTAAGAAAAATCCTTTYGAATTTCAATTGATATTTTTTCCACTAAACTCAGAAGCCTGTGAGACTGCACCACCTCTAAGAACTGCATTGTTGTGACTCATAGAGCAGTCTTCAATATTCTCTGCTGTCCTACTTTTTCATTTGTATTTTGTTTGCTTTTATCCATCAATGTATCCACTATCTATGAGTATATCATCCAATTGGCAGTGTACTAGACATGGTACAAATGGTTCRAAATTTATTTTTGAAAGTGTATCTATATACTTTCAAAGGTGTAATATTTTCAGAGATTCCAGAATAATATATACCATTCAATAAGAGCTGCAGATTTAGTTCAAAGCTTTTGAAGCTTATTTTAATTGAARGCTACCATGTCAAAGCTGGCATAAGATGTTCCTGTCCCCCAGGGCAGCTCTTACCGTGGCATAGTGGGGTCCATTCCCACCAGAACTCCACTAAAACCTTTCTTTGTTTTTCTGTCTTACTAGTGATATCCAAAAGATTTCATGGATATATGTATTTTTTTTTCTAACACTTAAATTCATAACAGATATCTTGTGCATTTGTGCTGGCATATCCAAGTCTGTTTCCTCTTGTGCTAGGCGTGGATGGCCCACATGTTAGCAAGCGGCAGGCACAGCTCAGACCCAGCTCCAGAAACTGTCTGTCCTAGATTCCTTTTGCACCAATCCAGCCATTTCAGCACACAAGAAGAATACAAAAATACACCTTTGCTGCAGACATCAGTGGTGATTTCAGCAGCTAGCCACATACTCACAAAAATGGCCATATGGCATCTCAGACTGAGGGTACAAAGGGACAAGCAGGAGTAAGTTACACAGCCTCAACTCTTCAGATGTCCTGTGATTTCACTCATGGAGCAAGTTTTGAGAATTCATTGTATAATTACAATGTGCTTCAACACTTCTTTTTATGATGAAGTTGAATGAAATAGTTTTTTTCTTGAAAAGYTGAGTGTAGTAACTTTAAAACCAAACTCAGTTAGTACCCACATTGTGTAGTAGATACGCACACACACATCTGCTGCATTTTTTTTACTGTGAATCCCTATTAAAAAAAAAAAAAGAAAAAGAAAACGCTAGAGCTGTCACTGCTTTCTGCTCTTCCTTGCTCCTGTCAGTTCTTCAGCCATGCCAAAGAAGATGTCTTTGGGCTTCAACTGTAAACTACATATGGAAAATGATCTGGGTTTAAAAAAAAAAAAAGATAATTAATGGCTTATACTGCAGACACATCAGAGCAGGAACCGATGTAGAGGACAGCAACTGTGAACCTTGGAGCAGGGAGGGGAATAAGTTGCTGCATATGAGAGGGAGGAACCTCTTAAGCCAGATTTGCTACTGCAAAAAGTGTAGGTGAGCTGCATTTGGAAATTACTGATACTACTGGGTCTTCTGGAATTTTAGCATTTGTGTTGCCACTTACTGAAATTTAGTGAATTTATCCAAACAAATCTTGTTTGTGAGATTTTACTTGGCCTTCCAGAACTAAAGAATATAAAAGTCAAGGAAGTCTTAACATGAAAAACAATCCACCATTCAGCTTGGTAAGTCTGGATGACTTTTCTCAGGTAGAACTCAGTCTTGGAAGAGCAGTGATGCTACAGGACAGAAATAACTGAAATGGGAAAGCAAATACGCAGTGACCAGCTTCACAAGGCAAGTGACATGTTCCCACAGAATGGCTAAGAAAACTATACAACCAAGTTCTGACTTCCACCTCGGCAAGCCAGAGCAATAATTTCCCAGTGGAGACCTGTGAGCGATACGCTCAAAGCTCTGAAAGACAAAACATGTGGGACACTGAAGAAGGACATGAGGACAACTATCCCAAAGTATCTTGCTTTGTTAGAGATTATGGGATAAAAATGAATCTTATTAAAGGATGCTGCTTCTAGAACAAATATAGCTAAGGTGAAAAGGTCAAACCACAATGCAGACATAAATTATAAAAAGATGCATTTTACATATTTTTTGCCAATGCAAGGAAGCCAAATGACAACATTTCATTAAAAATGACAAGTCTATACTACCGTCAACTGAAAATGCTACTTACTGATTTAAATAARTAAGTAGACAGGTTTTATTGCTCAGCGTAAAGACACACAGGGGATACTCAAAACCCTACACCAAGCAATACCTGAGTAGTAGTAAAAAGCCTTTTGTTTGAAGTATGATGCAAGAGTGCAAGCACACACACAACTTTCTCACACTTCGCCTTCATCCGCATCCAAAACCGTAATTAAATGGGAGACGTAGCAGACAAGTGCAAATCTGACGTACCTGATATGTGGAGACAGGGGAAGCAGCGATGAATGGCGTGATTGATGTCTGTGGGATCATGCGGTTTGTTGCAATACTGTACGGGGAGGAATAAAATCTGCAAACAAAGAACAAAGGGAAGAGTTGGAACCCTTCRACTGCAAGACTCTGACTGACTAGTTCAAGTCAAGACCAACTAAGACCAAGTCAACTTAGACGAAAKGAATGTGCCCAGGTAACGATGTCCATCTACTTCCAAAACCACAATAAAAAGGATGTCATAGCTCCACTAAGTAAATCTCCAAAATGGAAAGGAGATGGAATATTCACACAAGCATTTAGGAAATGGAGTATTTACACAGGCATTTTTTTCTTCAACTAGCACAATTAGAGAACCTTGCAATACAAAAAGTAGTTACGTGAAATGCAAAGGCAGATGATTTTCCAGCATACTGTCTAGTGGCAGGAAATTTCTTTCACAATATCAAAGACAATGATACTAATTCATTTATACATACAGTAATGTTTTCTTTCCAGATCTTAGCAGCTTAGTGTTTCAGGCATATATATGCCAGACTTATTTTATTAAGGGATGGCTATAGAAACAGGATGAAATTTTGATATTCATCTCAACAGAGAACTAGGTGCCCATCTTTCAGAGAAATTTATCAAGAATTATGAGTCTAAATGGTCCAGACAGCATTGAAAATTTCAAATATAGTTGTTTTTATTTCCACTGTTGCATGTTATGAACAAAAGTTGTGCCATTTCTTGCTTGCTGGTAATAAATGCTGTATTTGTTCTCTTTTCCTGTGAGTTAATGATTATTGATAAATTACAATTTGGAAAATATCACTACTGGTGCTTTGTGTAAGTATTAACATGTGTGCTTGCAAAGCTTTTTGTATTTGCCATTCTTTTTTCCATTTTAACTGTAAGCTAATAAAGAAAACTGCTTTTAAAAAAAGAACATTTGTGGGTTCACAACTACCAGAATGCTAATGGCTTTGACTTCTCAAAGAAAAACAGAGAAATAAACTCCTGTGCAATGGTCTCTTGTCCCATTTAAACTTCACGCAGATTGCTCTCATACAGCATGCACCAGTCTCACAAGCAACAGAAGCCTGTGCACATATGCTTGGTCTGTAACACTGAAGTGGATTGCACTCCCTGCCTCCTTTATTTTTTTCCACCCTACACTGAGGCAACCAACAGTAGCTTTCCATGAAAGCCATGCAAGGAAAAAAAAATCATTACTGGTGTTTAAACAAGGGCTCTATTTCCTGATCACCCTGGCATCCCAGATTTAGTGCTAATCACTCTAGTTCAGACTGGATGTATTCATTCTGGGTGCAGGCTCAAATAATCACTGAGTTCTTCCAACCAACAGGCTTGAAGAAACAGGCTGCCGTCTTTGAAGGTTGGGTGGAAACATTCGAAGTTAGAAGGGGAGAGAGAGAGACGGAGAAGCAATCATTTGTTCTCTCTATTCCAAATAAGATTTTAAGATGCCAAAAGCAGCAGGTGGTGTCTGAGTGATTTTTTGTTTAATAGAAATATATTGCTATTTTAGGAGCATTTATCTGCCCTCACAATGCTCACACTGAGACTATTTTAAAACCGTATCTTTGTTCAATTTGGTATGCATCCTATTACGAGGAGTTAGCAGTATTTATATCCTACTGCTCATAGCAAACATACCCCATTATTTTCCCACCAAATTATTTTGGGAGGATATTTTTTTAGCGCTGGTTGGATTTGTCTATGGCATTAGCATCATGCACATTAACAATATAGTCCTGTTATGAAAGCTCTGTTCCCAGATGCAGGTTAAGCTGCAAAAGCAAACAGTCAGTGGCCAACTGACAGACAGAATTTGCTCTTACAGGTAGAATGACCCAGAGAAATTACATGTAAACTTCTTGAACTGAAGGACAGAATCAAAACAAAACTCTTGAGAGAAAATAATGCATTTTTGTTACTTCAGCTCCAGTTCTACCGACTAGGCTGGACTGATGCTGCGCTCCCAAGGAAGGTGAAATACCCACTTGGGCACGAACTGCCTGACAGCACAGAGTTCAGCAGAGAAATGACTTTCCATTTGAAAGTAATGCTGATCTTTTGGAATAAACACTCCAATAAATCCAAGCAAATACTAGCAAATTTACAGAAAATGTGTGCTAAGCCAAGAGCTTGATGGACAGCTAACCATTTCATTTTCAGCTTACAGGTGCAGTTATCTGAATAGTACATAAGCTCATAGAACGTACACTTTGGTAATGTGAAAAATACAACCTTTCCGACACCCCTGCCAATACCATTTATCTGTCACAGTTTGCAACGCTCTCAAACCTGCATCAAATAAAACATATCATCAGGACACTGGGCTGTACTGTGAAAATGCATGCAACCAGAGAGTCACAGAAGAGAAAGGAAGRAAATGTGAGACCCTTCAGCTCTTATATTTCAATGTTAATAGGCATAAAYCAGTGTTAACAATGTGAGTCACTGTGACAGGGCTGAGGTCAAGCATTTCCTAATCAGAAATCTCCTATGCTCAGGGAAAAAGTTCTTGTCCTGCTCCAGCACCACTCGTGCTGTGGGGCAGCTAGAAGGACTTGGAAACTGTGGAGGGGAAGTCAACAGGGCAAAAACTGAACAAGTTCATGCTGAAGCCTTCTCTGCCATGCTTGAGGGCTAGTGGTATGCTGAGCTGAGTGGTCCTCACTAAATGCCCTTACCTGAGAATCACATCCAAATTCCCTTCACATACCATTAGGCCAGCGTCCAGATACATAATTGATCTACACTGGCCTAAGAGACATGGTGGACACCTCAAAAAAAGACAGATGGAGCAAAAATGAAAGTGTAGTGAAAACTACACTGCCCCARTGAGACCTCCACAGCTGCCGACCTTCCCTTTGCCTCTTTTCTTTGCTTCCTGGCCCTTGGATTACATGAGCATCCTGCAGTCTTAGGAAGAGGTGACATGAGGCAAAAGATGCCTCCTGTCCAAGGGAATGCCGGACTGTCAGTTGATATAATACAGACATTGGAAAGAGAAATGGGAGAAGAGAATGATGCTAGCTTTGTCTCATTTTAGACTTACTGTTCTATGAGATTCCCAATTGTTTTGGCATTAAAACATGCAGAACCTTGTGCTGTACTTCGAGAGCTGCAGGTTTTGCGGTAGTTGCCCAGTGAGCTCTGAGGAGAGCCCTCCCTCCTGAAAGGCTCAGACATAAATGCAGTTTGCAGTTCTATGTGCAGCCCGTGCAAAGTCTTTTGCAGGTGCAAGCCCAGTGACCTTGTTCCTCTACAGCAGTTGCATTGCTAGAAGCCAAAGTGCAGAAACGCAGGTGGCAGGGAGCAGGCAAAACGGACACTGCACTTTTTTGGCATGCACTTGACCCTGCGTGAGCAGGGGGGTTGGACTCGATGACCTCTGAGGTCCCTGCCAACCTTTGGCATTCTATGAGTCTATGAGTATGGATTTCATAAGCCCAGGAAAAAAAATATCACTGATCGCAAGGAAGAAAAAAGATACTGATGGATGTTCATGATGAGAGTATAAAGGTTGTAAAAGAAAGTAGTCTTCAGAGACCTTAAAAGAACTGTGTTCACAGCACATCCTTAGGCACACACACAGGCAACAGTTAAGAACAGTTTCTGTTGCTTAACAGACAAAGCACATTCTTCCCCTCTCTCCTATCAGCCCTCCCTCCACATTGGGGACTGAACTATCTGTAGCGTCTGGTCGCTATCTGCCTGCCAAAAAAAAAGAAAAGAAAAAAAAATCCATATGGTTCCCATCCTATGGGGGAATGTGCAAGCTTCCACACAGAGTCTGCACAAGAGTGAGACCCTATTTGCACAGCAATAAACACCATTTGCTCCTGCCTCATGCCTGCAGGCAGTACTGAACAAGTCAGATTCATAAATAGTATCCTGGGGCTCACATAATGTAGGAGTATTACCGAGCGTTATCAGAGCAGCAATTTTCCATCGCAATAAGCCACAGAGTCAGATGTTTGAGATGAAAAAGACCTATCTGAATACTGAGACCATTGGCCTGCAAACACACAGTATAGTCCCCTAGATATCAGATATTAAACTGATACAGTACATTGCAATTTTAGTCAAATGGCCAACAGGACTCAAGCCTCAGCAACATTTTAAATGAGCATCTGTACAGTGCAAGTACAAGAGCTCTATATTGTTCTGTGCATGAGTGCATTAAACCACTAAAATAATATTAATACCACAAATTGAAAAATCAATCATATATTACATTGGACACACCACACCCCAAAACAAAACCTGAGTACTTTTACAAAGGCTATTCAGGAAAGCCTGATTATRAAACAAAAAGGCACCTGCAGACTGGCATGGGAAAAGACCTTAGCTACTGCAGTGTGCTGTTACCACTTCTTCCCTGCCTCACATGGCAGTGCTATGGGCCTGATTCTCTGCTCCACTGTACCAGTTTTAACCTGATGTAACTCTGCTGGATGCTTAACCAGTTACGTGGGCATAAAAACAATACAATGAAATGGTGAATCAACCTGCACAACTTAATAGACTCAGAAGGAAATYGTCTATTCCTTTGTGGAGAGAAAGACTTGGTTATTTTTAGAGAAAGCCTCTTTCTCTCTCTGTTTTTGTTTTATTCCCACCATAGATTTTCTAAGGAAATAGCACTTATACCATAATAAAAATGATTGTACTACACCATAAGCAATGAGAATCCCTGCCTTTTCATCTGAAGAACATGTAAGAGTCCAAATTCTTCCCTGAGGTTTGGCTATATCTTAACCAAATCCCAATATAACATAAACATTTTGAGGAGTTTGCAACACACACCTCACCTGAAACTTCCTCTTGGCTTAGGATTTGGTATCTTTATACATCTCTTCTCCAGCCCTGCTTCATTAATCTGCATGCTGCTGGGCACCAAGGGACCCTTGCTTATCACAGTATGACAACAACTCCTTGCAAGCCACATGAGATGCTATCACCTGCTCAACCTGACTGAACTAAGGCTGCTTCAAGTAGCCTTAGCTTCACAGATCTTTGGGTAAYGTTGCTCCACACAAATCTTAGCCTCTTTTTCCAAAACTACTTACTGYGAAGTATTAGGCAGCACCTTACCCAAGTGGGTGCATGAGCAACACAGTAGAGCTGTAAGAACCAACACTCTGTTCCCCCCACTGTGTAGAACTTCTTTCTTGACTCCCATCTACCAAGCTTTAAGTTAACCTCCTTCACTTCATCCAGTAAGGTGCAAAAAACTCCGCTGTTCCATGGCCACATAGCTGCTCTGATACACGTCTACAACACAAATCACATTTACACTTTCGACAAGCAAAGCGTCAGGGTGCTCCCACACTTAGCTAAAATAAAAACCATGAGCCAAATTTTATTGTATTTGCAARCAAAGAGGCTTATGAAAAATAGTAAAAGTTTGTAACTAAAGGATATATAAATACTATTCAATGAATGCTTGGGGACCTAAAAAAAAATCTAATCAGACAGTCCTGGTGACTCTAAGGTGTCAGCATTTTTAAGATGCCACCCAGAGGATGGAACAACAGTTGTGTAACTTTCTGTGGTCATATCAATGTTTTCCACATAGTAATAATTTCTCCTTGTGAAATGCGTGCAGTCAAAATATAACCATAAGAGCATTTTGAATCAGATGCCTTTGCCCTGATCAAACTGAATTTAGATGATTTAGAAAAAAAGAGGCATGTCAAAGTGGTAATTATCATTCACAGTGCAATATCCCACGCCGTAATTTATTTCATGCTTTACAAATGAAAGAACATTGCAGAAGCTGCAGAGCTGAAATTCGCCATTGGATACTACTTCTTTTCCCAATGATCAACGACAACATGTTTAAACAACAGAGTGATCTGAACACCTGAGCAATGCAGAGTGCTCTCTGATATAAATGATGTCTGGACCTCAGAAAATTCTCRTAATTTCAGAAAATTATTCTTGAATTAAAGTGATAATAATCTCAAAGGATCATTCAAATTACAATTTCCAAAACATTCATGTAACTGACATACAGGAATTCCCTTGAAATAAAACCCAGTTGTCTGGACGAAACACTAGTGGATTATGAACTAGTGATGGTTTTATTTATAGCCTATAATGTGTTGTCAGCTGAAAAGTGTGACGATAGCATGGGAGAAGGGATAGAGAAGGAGGATTTGTTTGGGCAGTCTGAGCAGGGAACCAGAACCAGAAGGATTCTGAAGACAAGAGTCCTGAAGAAAAAATGCTGTTTTTTTTTTGAGTTGTTCTGCTCTGACTTCTTCCTGCACAACATGGGAATACAAGTCCCACAAAGATACTGCTTTTAAAAGGCAATTGCCTTTAAAGTAAAATATGCTAAATATGATTACTGATTTTTGAAGTTACTGAGAATTATTATTTTTTTTAATGCTTCAGCTAGCAGTGCCATAACAAACACTTAGAAACAAACTCATTCTCTTCTATGCCAATACATTCTCCTCTTCACCTGGAAAACACAGACGAGAGTATGTATGGAATTTGATAATCATATCAAACATCTGTCAAAAAGGGCTGTCAAGAAGTTCAGGGCTGAACCTCTTTGCTTCTCTTTAAACTATTGTTAACCTATCTGAAAGGATAGCTAGATATCACAGATCTGTTTTTTTAGCTTATGAAATAATTGGAAACGTAATCATGGAGATAAACAATGTGACTTTTCTGCTGAAGTTGAAAATTATTCTAATTCTTTATGTCGGCAAGCTCAGGGCGAGAAATGAAGAAGTGTTGTTCAGAGTTCTACCCCTAAATCACATCTGCTCACGCACTAATTTAAGGCTTTCTCCCTRTTTGGCATTTCTATGCACACAACGCAATGGAAATTGCCCAACCAGTAGGGAGAACCCAGATTAAGTAATAGCTCTATTATCCAAAATATGCTGGAATCTTCAGTAATCATTTTAACAAAAGCAAGGTCAGTAAAGGGAAACTTTACTGGTTTCCACTTCATGACAGAGAAAGATTCAAAAAAAAAAAAAAAGTCTTCGACGATAGCATTTGCCAAATAGAAATGGAAACTATTAGGAAAAACAACTTCCCATTGAAATGGATATTGCAAACAACAGGGCATAAAAAGAAAAGGAAAACTGGAAGAAGCCTTGACAATATACCAGTCCATGCTTTAGACAAAATATGACTGAGTGAATTTGCTTCTGAATAAGTTTCACCACAGAAAGAGAAAACAGAAGATAGAATTCAAAGCAATTTTTAAAAAGGCATAAAGAAAGCATGCATTCCTTACCCATTCTGTATAGCAGCTGTTGGATCATAAGTCAAAGCCATGCCAGCCTGCACATAGTTAGGGAAGAAAAACAGATTTTTTACTATTACTGCAGAAAAAAAAGAAAGTGACATTAAATGTAGCCTAAGTCAACATGAATCCAAACTGAACAAAACCTAGATGGAGAGCTAAAGTCCCCCAGGGAAACTCAGATGGTCCAGAGCAGCATGGAGAGTTTGGTTACCTTCCCCACCTGAGATACCCCTTAGAAATGAGTTAGTTAGTCAGTATGTTGGTCATCATCACCTCATACCACCTAGGCCAAACTGTATCTTTGTTGCCCCAGTATCATCCAATGGCTCCAATGAGTTCAATGGTACATCAGATTATGCAGTAAGCATAACACAACAGGGACAAATCTTATTCCCAGTGAGAGAGGTAGTTGGCAAATACTCTAAAATCACCTTCAGAGGAGTTATTCAAGAAGAAGTCTCATCTTTCCTTCAAAGACCACAGGCCGTGCAATCCCAGTGGTCTATGATTTCCCTGGTCTGTCACAGGTGTTTATAGTTAATTCATATCTGTGAGGCAGTTAACAAAAACTGGGCTGTGAAGCAGAAAAGGGCAATCAAAAGAAAGCCTATCTGAGCTTTTAAACAGGGCTTTTAAAATATTTTAGAGGTCTGGACAGCAAAAGAATTTATTCTAATGGGCTTTTCAGAGCTTTTCAACTGCAGTTCACCATCAAGCAGATGGTGACCTCTGTGAAAAGATCTGGCAATGTCAAAACAGTATCTAGTTAACAATTGCCACCACTCCACTAGCTTGCACATCCACAGGTAGAGCAAAAACGGCAGGGACAGAACAGAGATGGAGATTGAACTTCCCCCAACTGCTCCTCTGTTCACACCCAGTGGCCCAAAGGTGCCCAATGCGGCTGTGTGCAAGGCAGCAGCGCCTTCCCAGGAACCCACTTCAATATGCAAGACAGACAGTGTCTCCTCTCTTAAAACATCACATTTGCTTTTTGTCTTCCTTTTTCTTTTTTTTCCTTTGCGAAACACTTTTCAATCTATAACTGTACCAAGAGATCTGAAGGTTTCTCCACTGGCATGGGAGTGAGAAGCTAGAGGAGAGGGACTCCTAGAGTACAGGGTACTCCTCCTGCTTCATTCCTGCCAGAGACCTTTAGGAGCAGCTGAAACATGGACATGGTGCCTACCCACCCCGAGGCCTGGTATCCCTTTCTGCTTTTCCTACAGACCACATAATGACTGAGACATGAGACTGAAGCAGCATGAGCAGTTGCTCTGCCAACTGTGCGGCAAGGTCCATGCTCTTGAGGTGAGCTCTTAATGCCCCTGTACCCATCTACCAAAGTACTTTTGAATCACATAATCGTTAAGGTTGGAATGGACCTCTAGAGATCATTAGCCCAACTTCCCTGCACACGCAGGGTCACCTAGAGCACGTGGCACAGGATTGCATCCAAGTGAGTTTTGAGCACCTCCAGAGAAGGAGACTCAACAACCTCTCTTGGCAGCCTGTTCCAGGGCACTTTCACCATCACTGTCAATAATATTTTCCTTAAGTTCCTGTGCACCTTTATGTCTTTMAGTTTGTGACCATTTCCTCTTGTCCTATTGCTGGCCAGCACTGAAAAGAGGCTGAGAGGCTGTACCCCTCTTCCTCACTCCCTCCCTTGAGGTATTTATACACACTGATCAGGTCCCCTCTCAGCCTTCTCCAGGCTAAATAGGCCCAGCTCTCTCAGCCTTTCCTCCTAGGGCAGATGTTCCAGATCATCCTCATGGCCCTGCGCTGGACTCTCTCCAGTAGTTTCATATCCCTCTTGTCCTGTGAAGCCCAGAACTGGACACAGTGCTCCAGGTGTGGTCTGAATAGAGAGGGAGGATCACCTTTACCTGTTGAAAATGCTCTTCTTAATGCACCCCAGGATCCCACTGGCCTTCTTGGCCACGAGGGCACACTGCTGCCTTGTGGTCAACTTGTCATCACCCAGGACACCCAGGTCCTTCTCTGCAGAGCTGCTCTCCAGAACAGCAGTCCCCAGCCTGTACTTGTGTCTGGGGTTATTTCTCCTCAGGTGCAGGGCCCTGTGCCCCCTTCCAGACACAGGTCAGAGAAGCGTGGAGCTTGGCCTGCTCCCACAGACCTGGTGACAAGCAGGTCCAGAGCAGGAGCATTCCTGAAAAAGCCAGACTGACCCAGCAGCTGCCCACCAACCTATGCAGAAGCTGTCCAAGAAGCAAAAGTGATTTTTTTTTGTCCAGAAGACAAAAATCACTTCTGGGGTGAATGCATGGGAGGGAAAAAAAAAAAAAAAAAAAAAAAAATAAAAAAAAAAAAAAAAAAAAAAAAAAAAAAAAAAAAAAAAAAAAAAAAAAAAAAAAAAAAAAAAAAAAAAAAAAAAAAAAGTGATGTTTTTAAATGATTAAATCTGCATATTGTTCACATTACTCTTTTAAGTTGGGAAGGTATATTTTTGCTTATTGAAACTGCCATTGTTTTAATAAAATATGTAGCACCTCTCAGGGAAAGGGCAGATCAGAAGACTTAGGCTAAAAACATATGCCTTTTTTTTTTTTTTTAAAGTATTCACTTTATATAAAGAGCAACAAAAATGACTATTTCTGAAAGCTTGAAATGTCAAAGAATCAAATTTAGAGTAAGTCCAGCCTTGCTAAGTTTCACCTAAACATTAGTTTAAATAATCACAGGGATGATCTACTTAACTTGTCCTTATTTCCTTGTCTCCAGTCTACTATTTGGGAAAGTTGCATTACCTACAAATAGAAAAGTATACAGTTCATCTCAAAAGAGAGCCAATAAAATGGTAATATCTGAAATATTTCTGCTGCAATACATCTTAGAGAAAAAAAAATACTGGTCTGTTTTTCTTTATTTTTACTTTTCAACATGTGCAAAGTTTGTTATTTCTCTCTTCATATCCTTGTGCTGGTAAAGACAACTTAAGCAGTATGTGCAAGATCTAGAGGGACAGAAAAACTAATTCCATTTTTTTTTTAAAGGCTCAAAATAAATTAAGAGATTTCTCTATAAAAAAAAAGGTGTCAACATTTGAACATTTCGTCACACATCTACTCAAGACTGAGAAAAAAAATCTCCTGGGAAAGGAGCGATCTCAGATTTCCAAATAAGAGAATTTCTAGACCTAGGAGTCCTTAAAATTGCTTGGATCACAGCTTGCTATATGCCACACTTCTGATGGGTTTAACTCAGGAAAAAAATTTCAGCAAGGGGAGAGTGGGGGTTTAAGAAAGGAGAAAATGAACAATCCTTTTCTTTGACATCTTTTTCTTTGACTTAAAAATGGAAGGACATTGAGGGTGCAGAAAGGACATGTTTCAGAAGCTCTTTCACTGGAACTCTAGCAAAGAACAGTGTCCAGACGAGACAGACGAGACAGGCAAATTTATGACCATTTCAGGTATTTTTCTCATCACTGATATTTGAACAAACTTTTACAACACAGATCTTCAGCTTGCCCTCAAATGCCCTCAATGTGAGCAGATACAGGCAGATAAACAGCACATACTMATTTCTCTATATACTACCATCATGTTCTTTACTTCTTAGCAGCACTTGGAAGAGGAGTAGGGTGACCATTCATGAGGACTGCCATGTTCAAAATATTAACAGCTTCTCATCTATACTGAATATACTACTGTAGACCGACCAGAATCTGTTCAAATATCTAAGCAGTGACCTCAGTTAGACTTGCCTGGTAGTGAAAGCTTCACATTAGACAAATATGAGCCAGGGTGCAGCAATATGCACATATGGTACAGACCTACAGTCTGCCCAGCAATATTGCTAATATCCCCCAGTGCTGAATAGCCTTAAACAGCTGCTGTTTCAAATAGCTGCTAACAGAGGACCATTTACTTCTTTCTCATCAAGTTGTGTAATTCCTCCCTAAAAAATTACACTGGCCTGAAGCCCAGGAGAGGCAACAGTTAGCCTGGACCAGGGAAAGATTTATGGTCTGAAGCATCCTCACTCATCAGGAACAAAGAACGATGAGCAATACTAACTTACTGGAAAATCATCTCCACTTTCTTCCATATTACACAAACAGGAATTCCAAAAAAATCAAAAAGTGAATATTAGGGTTGGCCTTGGAGGGACATGCTTTGGATGGACAGCTTATTGAAACAGCGTTGCCTTAAGCAAAGACAGGAATATAGCTGTCACTGTGTTTAATATGATACTAACTATACTGAGGCATTGCCTAATACCTCAAAAGTAGTCCTCAGCTGCATTAAAGTTTTTCTTCCAGGTCTTTTAATCCATTATTTTTGCTTGTGTTTCAGTGAAAGGACACGGTTTTCTTCCTTCTTCTGATAGGGTGACACTGCGTGATGAATTGCCACCCAAAAGAGTGACACTGCTGATGAAATACTGCTTCAGAGAAATATCTGTCAGATAAGCCTTCTATTAAGGAATGACTGAACCATCRAATTTTTAATGTCACCTTAGCCAGGTAACGGGCATCAACTTGGCTACTAAATGAAAATTTGGCACCTCATCATTGCAATAGGCAGTACTCCAAAGCAATCAATAAGAGGGATATCTGTCATCATCTCTGCACATAATAATACAGACTGTTCTCAATGATCAGTCAACTAATATGTCCAGAATGCCACAAGTGACAAAGAAGTAAAATCAGCTCACTTAAAATCATGACTTTTTTWAAAAAAGAACATTTTAACTATGTGTGTATGTTGCATATATGTGTGTGTGTTTATTTTTATTGACATATCTGAAAACAGGGCAAAGGAATGAATATTTTCACTGTTTTGGCACTGCAGTTTTCTCATTATTGAAACCAGTGAATGAGCAGATTCTAATGAAAGAAGTCTCAGTCTGCACCTTTTTTTATAAATTCAACCTTTTTTCCCCTGAAAATAATAACAAGAAATATTAGAAAGCCTCTGGAAGGCAAAGGTTCACTCAGAAAGAAAGAAACGTGAATACCTTTGTTCAAAATTTTCCATGGGCACAACAAGTATTTTTCCCCCTC